GGCTAAACTAAATATTATTCATAGCGCACTGCATAAGAATAAGATACATATTTTGAATTTTCAATTTGATCATCATAATGAAATACGGACACATCGAAATCATTCTTGATCTCTTCAGCTTTGTTATAGTATCTGGGTTCAATTGTAATATTCTTGTCTTCCCTTTTTCTTTTTTAATCAAAATAAATTATTCTTCTAAACAGTTTCATTCTACATGTTTTGGAAAAGACACTAATGTGCAAAATTAAAGCAACAAAGTCATTTTTTAACATACAACCATGGAAGTTTAGACAAGGGCTTTCTACAATCAGTAGAATGAAAAGCGAGCTCAGTTTAAAAGTGATGCGTATGCAAATATCATCACCATGACCTCAGAAAATACATCAGGACACGCAAAACGCATGGAGGTAGTGTGTACCGTGCAAGGCAGCATAAAAAGGAGAAAGGAAGGCGCATTCCCGGGCGTTCTTCTGCAAGTGAAAGTGAGATTGTATTTCAGTATAGGTGCAAAACCAATCAGGACGCCTTTTACACGTGGTAGATTCAGTAGCGAGCTTGAGATTTGGTTTGGTTTTTGGTCTATGTGATTACAGCAAAGTCTCGAGGGTTATCTGTCTAAGGGAAGGGATGCCGTCGTGGAGGACGTTCTGATGGAAACTGGCTCATATACGCCCTACACGTACGGAAAACCACGAAAACGTCCATGCAGGTAGTCCGTTCGCGGAATTCGAACCTCGGACCGAATCATCATTGTTCAACGACTTTACCCCTCGACCGCTGGTGAGCTTGGCAAGCTTGAGGAGGGCAGTAGTTTAACGTCTGTCGTCCAAGAGTTTGGAATTGATAAACGTGTTGTTTCACGCGGTTGGAAAGCCTTTCATAACGACAGCGACAGCTGTAAGAAATGTTGTGGTGAAAGGACAAGGAAAACAACGATAACTGATGACCGATATATCACCCTGCAGGCAAAAAGAGATCGACACAAGACAGCGAGCAGCAATGCTCAGCAGTTGTGCACGGCAACCGGACGACAGGGTGTTCCGGCTTACTCTGGCCAGACGACTTTATAAAGATGGCCTATTCATCTGCTGTCCTGAACCCTGCATATCATCGACAGCAGTCCATCAACGGCACCGTTTACACTGGTGTAGAGCCGGTCCGTGGAACGACACCGGTCCGCGAAATATCCAGCTATCTGTCCAAGATCCAAAGTGTCATCGGCCGACAACCGATATTACAACAGCACCTACATTACAATAATACATAGTTTACTAGTTTAGAAAATAATATGATTGATGATGATTTATTTATGTGAAAAAATTGCGCCAGTGGGTCGAATTATTAAAACTTATCGGTCCGCGAGAATGTATCGAAATATGTTATCGGTACACAAAGACTAGATACCCCATCAATGAAGTCACGTCCTCTTTACCGATGAGAATCGTTTCAGTCTGAAAACGGTCCTCGGCGTCATTTCATATGGAAAAAGGCGAAGACACGCTTTCATCCTATTAACATCAGGAACAGAGGCCGCTGGAGTGATCCTGGCGTGCTTGTATGGAGAGACATTATGATGAGCGGACGGACGGAGCTCCGCATTTTTGACAGAGGTTCACTTACCGAAGATTGTTACCGTGATGAAATTACCTTCCCCCCCCACACACACTTACGTCTTTTCCGATGTACCGAGTTTGTTTTATAGTGCACGGCCACACTGGAATTATGCTGTTGATGAGTCGGTGGAAAGTGAAGACATTCACAGAACTGATTAGCCAATGTGTTCCCCTCATTTAAATTATATCGAATATGTGTGGAATGCTTCGGCGAGACGCCTGGTGGTATCATCTTGCCCTCCACAGAACACCAGACAACTGGAACAGATTCTCCTTGGAAAATGGCAGCTCTTATCCTAAGAATTTAAGAGTATCCACAGACGGCCCAACACAATCATTGAAGTTAGGGGAGGTTATCCCTTATAGTGGCTTTTGTCCTGTTTTACTTCCTTTTGGCCAGATTATTGTACCAACGCCATTCTGTCAGTAAAGGTTTTTTTCTATTCGTTTCGTGCTATTCATTTTCTTGCTACTATACTTTCTTCATCTTTTAAGTACTAGATTGTGCCTATGTAGTATGAGTTTCATGTCTCCCATTTGATATTTTGCGGAATTACAGAAAAGTTGCTTACATTTTGTACACAAATATATCATGCAATGCCCTAAGTTTAATTTCTTTTACCACTTCTCATGCATTCTAGTTAGCAATTTAAGGTACTTTAGAGGGAACTTTTCATTAGAATTTTTGAGTCCAGATTATCCTATTTCTCGCTGATTAGATTAAAAGGTTGTTAATCAAATCAATTTAGAAACAAATCGGTAAAGTTTAAGGATAATTTAAGCAACTTTTCTCTTATTTAGACTGTTAATGTCTTATCTAATTGTATGAAAATTTCTCCCTCTAATAAAAAAAATAAATCTACAATAAAATAAAAAATACTTTTAAGAAAAAGATAACAACATGAATATGATGATGAAAAAGCAGAGGTAATTAATGCTTTTAAAAACTAACGTTAATAAAAGTAGCTGCTATGCCTAAAAGAGATCTCTTTAGACAATACTCTTACAGCTAAAGCTAAATTTTTCCATTCATTGCAAAATGGAAAGAAGAAATTAATTGATGCATCGGACTTCGATGAATAGGAAGCGTCGTTATTTCGATGGTTTAAACGAGTAAAAATTAGCCACAACTTGGATTTAGAAAAATTTCTAAAAAATGTTCCAATAATTCAAGCTTGACTTACAGCTATTTTAAAGTAAAGTTGCATGGAAATAAATAAAACATTTCTTTATGAGAGTTTATAAATATATACTTATAAAATAACAGTCATAATCGCGTTTTAAAAATTGAAAGTATTTTGAAATCATTTTATTTGTGCTCACATGAAAAAATGGCAACTAAGAAGTTTTTAATAATACTGAAATATGAATATTTAAAATACTGATAAATAATAAATATTTTATTTTATATATTTGCTGTAAACGTATAAATTTTATTTCATAAGAGAGTTTTTCCCATTTAGAAATAAACATAAGCATCTTTTGGATTCATTCCTTTTTAGTAAACTCACCTATATCATCATGATGCTTTTGGAGGAAGAAAAAGTATTATCATAATACCAGAATCTATATGACTTCATCCTTTGGATTTGATACATTTGTCCACTTGTTTTTATTTATTGTATTTTAAATTGTAATCATCTCATCCTGTGTTTGGCGCGTTTTAATCATCTTTGGTTTTGCGCCAATAACCTCTCACTCACTCACTCATAATACCAGAACAATTTTTAGAAACATATTTGAGATTATGCTTTTACGTAAAAATTTATAATATGTTTTCTTATCAGATAATTTAAAAGGAAAAACGTTTTTTGTTTCTCGAGGCTTTTTGACAACGAAAACCTCTCCTGCTTCAGTGCTTCTCCCGATATTCAAAGAAGTAAATACATTAATGCAGAACAAAATTTCGTGCTGGTTGAACTCAACAAGAAACTCTAGATAATCACTGCTGGGGATAAGATGATCTTAACTCTTCAAATTTTTAAAATGTGGAAATTTTACTAGTTGTTTATATTGTTTAAAAGAAATTGTGTTTGACTACGAATGTTTTTACTAATTAGTACTATAAAACTTGCAAAGACATCTGAGCAAATATGAAAAAATCAATTCGAGTATTTTTACTTCTAGATAATGCAACATACGTGTGAATATCTCGCATATCTTTGACTGTGAAAATTCAAGTCCCGGTTATTGTTCATATCATCTAATGCTACCCCACTATTACAGCCCATGGGTCAAAATGTGGTGGAAAGTTTCGAATAACTTTATAAAAATGCAGATTTGTATGAAAACTTTACTTAGCAGAAGAGGAAAAGTCCGTTTCGCGACTTTCCCCTGAGCGGCCAGAGTTTTCGCTAAGAAAGCACAAATTTCCCAAAACTACTATGAGAATAAATTATTTTTTTGATTTTAATGTAAAAACTCTCCTGGAATTTCATACCTGGATTTGTGCACTTTTGATATATTGCCCTAATTTATTTGACATATTTTAATTTGCACGTATATATACGTTCTTACAGAGTTATCACAAAAAATATTCTAGGCAGTATATATACGGCCTTACCGCTTAGAGGGTTAAGTCGCGGATTCAAAGGGCTCTATTACAAGACGGCTACCAATTCTTGGAATCTAGTGAATATATCTACGTTAAAGAGGCTCTCCAAGCAAATTTTAGACAGGGATAAAAATATGAAGAAACTGAGCAATGGTGATAATGTAACTCAGGATTGCAAAACAGGTAATACCAATGAAGGAAATTAGAAGAAATTTAAATTATGATCAAAATAAAATTAACGCCTGGTTAAATGTCAGTACATATTATCCTGGATGCGAGATCCTAAATGATAAATCTTGAATGATACCGTTTCATCAAACGGAAACAAAATCGTTGAAAATGTAAATAAACGTTGTAATAATGATCCTGTTTATCAAATACTGAAACCTATCAACGTTTAGTAAGAACTATATCTGCAGCTGCAGAAAGGACTTCATTCAAATAAGCTTCTGTGACCACGAAGAAATAGTGATAAGGACATGTGTAAAAGAATATCTACTTTGAAAAAAAGACAGTTTTATTTTTCATTAATAATCATGAATTATAATTCATTAAGCCTTGGTGTTTATTTTTAAAAGTTGGAGGGAGGCAAATATCCTAACTTCCAGAAGTGGCTTTTGAAATTACGTATAGTTCCTGTTAAGAATAAATTTTTCATTATGTGTACAATTATTGGAACTTTTGTTAAGGGATAAGTCTTGACGGTTTAGAATAATAAACTCCAATCTATACTAGTTCGTTAATAAAATAAATATTCAGTTCAATCTGTTGAACATATTCATAATGTAAAAGACATTTAATAATACTTTGAAAGCATACAATTGAGGTAGTACCTGAACATGAGCTTTGATTGTGCCACTTTTCGGAGTTTCCACTTCGTACGTCTGAAAAATGAAACATAAAAATTATGTAACAATGAATGCAAAAAATATTTAAACTTTTGCTGTAAGTATCAATTCAATTAATAACTAAATCTAATGTTGTTAAAGTAAAAGCCATTTGTTTAAAAACGAGAGAAACTACCTCTAGCTATTAAACTGTATTTGATATTAGCCGACAAGTATTTGCATGGGGGGGCATCAAACTGAAGCGATCAATAAATTAATAGTGAAAGCAATCCGTTCGGGATACGTTGCTGCTCAAAACTTCACGCAGAGAATGTTTACATTTACATTCGTAATTAAATTTCTGTTTCTCTGTGTTCAAATCATTCACATTCTCTTCCTTCTAACTTCAGAGCAATAATCGAAGTGACAGTCGGAGATCTGTCAAATGAATTCACAGTGTACTAAATCTAATATTAGCTAAAGAAAAACCAGCTCTTTAACACGAAACACCTTTAGATAGTAGTCTGTATTTGGTATTAGCAGGAAAGAATTTACATGGGGATATCAAACTAAAGCGATCAATAAATTAATAATGAAAGAAGCAGTCTGCTCGAGATATTTGTCAAAATGTAGACAGAGGCCGATTTCACTTGCATCCGTACTAAAGTTTCTCTCCGTTCAAAACCCCTAACTCTGCCTTTCTTCTATTTTCAAGGCAAAATCAAAAGGGCGAAATGGTAATTTGGAAGACTATTGAATAATTTGGAAATGAAATTTCGAAGACTAAGAATATTTTAACTAATATTAGAATAATTAATTCATTTTTCAAATTTCTGATTAAAGAAGTCTAATGCGTTCTGAAGACTGGATTGGATTACTTAGGTCATGGGCAAAGTACAGAAAGACTCCCTGCCTGAAAGAAGGGACGCCTTCATACAAAACTTTTTAACTGACTCGCGTTCACGTTATACACACTAGAGCTGGGGTCCAATTACCGGTATTCAGCGATTTTACAGCTCGTTTGCTGAAGAATCACTGGATCTTGAAGAAGACTCAATCTGATAATAATTAAAGGGAAGAACCCAGCTTTTAAAGATAACACAAATTATTTGTAGGTAAAAGTTTGCACTGAATGTTAGCCCACAAGCAAATGCATGGGGGTATGAAACTAGAGCGATCGATAAACTAATTGGAAAGAAATTTTAAAGCGCCACACAGAGACTGCTTTGTTTATATTCGCACTGCGGCTTATCTGTATTTCTAAACAACGATTTTCTCTTCCGTCTAACTTCACGGCAATATCAAAAAGGTCAACCGGAAAATTGAGCATAAGATTAGGAAATAAAGAATTTCAAGGAACATAAGAGCCCAATTCTCATCACTTTTAATTTACACGGGTTATGTGACTTCATTAATCGCTAAAATCACAGTTTAGTAATTCCCATCGCTACAGTCTTTAATGTTGACCGATAAACGTACTGCCCACTTTTAATTTTAACGGCATTGAATGAACCCTAGTGTTGAGAGTGTTGAGAGCCTAGTGTTGAGAGTGACCCCCCCCCCAGTGTTGAGAGCTCAATACATACTTACAATATATCAGAATACTCTTTTACTGATAATATGCTAGTCTTTAAAATATGAAATATGTAATAAACTGGGTATTCGAAAAAGTTGGTTTCAGAGTTTACTAGTTTAAATATTAGCCCTACAATAACATCTAACAACAAAGTTTTTGCGAATGAGGTTGGAATATAAAGTAAATAGTTTCAGTTCTAAGGACTGAAGGATTCTGAAAATATGAGCTCATTTGACTTTTTAAATTCTCCCTGAAACGCAAGCATTCTGATTCGTAAAGTGCTCATGTGATTTAGTCAATTAAAGACAGAAAGGTAGATACCATTAGGTGCAAAATTCGCAAAAGTTTGTTCAACTAATATTTTGATGCTCCCAAATTATAAGAATGAGTGCTCTTATAAATCATATGGAACGTTTATCTGCTAAAACGAGTAAGTTATTTTTTAGTTCCTCTTAACACTTTTTGAAAATTTTGGATTTCGTTAGACGACGGATGTTGAGATGTGATCTAAAGCTGTAAAATTAGAATAAACTTTAAAAATTAAAGATGTAATATTATTATACCAAATCAGAAAGAGATAGAACAGAAATTAAAAATGTAAATGGTTATATAATTATATTATTGTCTAAACAGTTATGTTTTTAATTTCCATTCTGTCTAGTTCTGATTTTATTCTCTGACAAGTTAGTTTTAATTTCCACTCAGTCTACTTCTGATCTGATATGCACAATTTACTCTCGTGGGGGAGGTGAAGGATGATTAGCTAATGTGAAGAAAAGGGTTAGAAAATGAATAAATAGTGTGCCGATTCGCTGCGATTTATATTGATATTTCATTCATATACTGATTCATCTGTACTTAAATGCTAAGCTCATCGCGTTCGTTTTCTCCTGCATTGCAGAATTTGGGCTTGATAAAGTACTACATATAGCAAATGAAATTTTAATCTTATAAGAAGTTAATAATTAAGTAAACATAGTTGTATTCCAGGTGCTTTATACCAGTCAAATTGATTTTAGTGTGCTAGTAATTTTATGGTAAGCATTTGTGATCTGCTCGACGTAATTGTTTAGTTCTGTTAATAAGTTTAATGACAGTTAATATTTCATTAATTGTGAATAAATAAATTTCAGTTTTTTATTCATTTTCACATATGATTATTTTCGCTACTAGGCGAGATCTCAACCATTTTTAAAATTAGTATTGTGATGCGCATGAGGATATCGCCAAGGAGAGGATGCATCATGGAGCATTTCTTAGAGAAAACGGCTCGAATCGTGACCTTCGTAAGGAGGAGGCCATGATACTTTTCAAGCTGTTGATGATTAGTCATTCTTTCCGTCCATCGTCCTGCCAGCGGCCGAGCGGTAAAGTCGTTGAAAACTGGTAGGTCGGCCCGAGTTTCGAATCCTGGCGAACAAGCTCCTGCATGGAAGTTTCCATATGCTCCACACATAATGTGTATATTAGCTATTTTCCCTTAGAAAAGACTTCATAAAGGCTTCCCTTCACTTAGGCAGATAGCCTTTGAGTGCTTTGCCATAATCAAATAAACCAAACTAACATTTCCATCCATCGTGTTGGTCAATTTTGTAATTGACCGCTCTGTGTTCGAAAGTTCTTTTCAAGTGTCACTTTTGTCAGTTTACTAATGTTGGATCATTATTGCAAATCAAACTGTAAATCCAGTTACATTGGAACAAAGCATTATGTTAGTGTTTAGAAATTTCTGAAAACGGCACAAAATAGTAACCGGATCGTCGAAAAATTCTTCGAGTGCGTTTTATTTCGAGTAAATGAAGTGTTTGCAAAAATCACATTCCTGAAGATGTGATTCGAAGAGAAGATGTTTTTACTGATATAAATAGCTAATTAGATTAATATAAATAGCTGACTGATATAAATAAGACTGATATAAATAGCTAATTAGATAGCTAATTAGCAGATTTTAAACCAATTGTTTGTAATCTCGATTTAGTTTGTATTGTTGCTTGCGTACGGGTTCGTAATAGACTGAATGCACAAGTCCGATAAAACGTAAATAAAATTTATTCTTATCAAAAGAAATAGATCAGAACTCTTGAATTTTCCTCAGAGATATCCATACAGGTGTTAACAATATCACGCAGTATAACCAGTAATTATACTTAAAACTACTAAAAATGTTAAATACAATGCAATGCAAGGCGCATGTAAAGACAAATGGCAATGCGCAATGCAAGGCGCTCTCTCTCTCTGGTCTTATGGTCTCTCTGGTTTTCAGCCAGTCGCGAGATATTTCTAGTATGTTCTGTATTCACGACAGCAGTTTTGACCTAGTAAAAGACAACCCCCGTGTTTTCATTGGTTTTAGCTCGTGCACGTTTAGACAAGTTTTCAAAGTAAAGAGGTGTTACAACTGCCAAAATCTGGGCCACATCAGCCACACGTGCAGGTCATCCCCCACGTGTGCTACCTGTGGTAAAGGACACGCAGCTGGCAAGTGTACTACAACTACACCTCGTTGTATTAACTGCGAAGATTCGAATAAGTAACTAGGCACAACTTACGAAATAACACACTCGGCAAGTGCAGGAATATGCCCAGCATACAAAGCAGAGCTCAGTCTCCTCAGAGCAGCTTATCAACACTAAGCAAAATGCAGGGTCTTGTACACAAGAGTATACTTCAAGGTTTCTCCGTCTTACAGGGGAATCTCCAGAGATGCCAGGCTGCAACAAACAACGCAGCCAAAATTATAATGGAAAATAACTTACCAGTGGGAACTACTGCAAGAATATTACACCGCAAATGGAAACATTGTAGGCATGAGTTCTTTCAAAGTATTTCAGTCAAACAGTAATCTAGCAGCAACAGTGCATAACGGTCCGCTCACTCCATCACTAATGTACAAAGTGAATACTCAAATCACCATTCAGCTTGAGAGCCCTAATGGGAACATTGCTTTCATAAGTATCTATATTTTGCCCTCATATGGTATCACATTAGCACTGACTGAACTAGAATATGTAGTTGCACTTCCGGTTTGCAGCAAAATTGTTGCAAGAGACTTTAATGCCGCAAGCTCTCTTTGGGGATCACCGGAAGGAAACAGAAGAGCAGTGCCAGTTCTGGACTTTATAACATCCCATGGCCTGACGATAGTTAATTCAGCTGACAGTTCTCCAACTTTCTGGACCACACGGGCAGAGGGCTGGCCAGATATTACGCTAGCAACTACTCCCATTTACCCAAGAACAAACAATTGGAATGTCTGGAGTGATTGCCCATCATTTAAGTGACCATCGTTTTATTAGATTCGACATTGACTTAGAACACCTATACGCAGTTTTAACTGCGTATAGGTGTTCTAAGTCATTTAATTACAGTTAAAAAACGTCTGAGCTCGACAATAGTGGTAGATTTTGGAAAATCGGCAATTGCTTTTGTTTTTTCAGGCAGGGGTTTTACACCTGAAGCAGTAATGAGGCAAACTAGAAAG